AATTAATAAGATAAACTTCAATTCGCCCAGCCGCTAAACGTCTGTTTTTCAGTCTGAATTGTGTAGTGTAGTTGTTGCTGGGGTTGACAGCCCTTGGGCGAATGTAAATGTATGAATTGTAAACAGTCTTTTTATTTTACAGTTATATTTGCTCGCATTGCCAACCATTTCTAATACAAAAACATTCCTGTTTTTAGTCTTCTTACCGCTATTTCTCATAAAACTCATTATTACATCAATCACTTTTTGTTTTTAATAAATTATTATTATTTATTTTAACAGAAACCATAAATATTATTATTTTTATATTGTTTGTGTTATAAAATATACATTAGAAAGGTATTGTATACACAGTGGAGGGCAAAACTAAAATACTTGTTAAAAAATGTCTTCTTTTCCAATTTCAATAAAATGTTAAGGTAATTTTTTTTTTTTTTTTAACTAATTGGGTGTTTGCAATTTCAAACAAATCTCTAAGCTTATATTCAAATCCGGTTTATAACGATTAATTAATCGCAATAAATTAAGTTTTTTGTTTTTAGAATTATTCGATTCCAACTCATATAATGTAGAGAGATTAACTAAAAGACTTTCATTTAAAGATTTTTGAGGATTTAAATTAATGGCTCTTTCGAAGAGATTAATGGCATCTTTAAGTTTACCTGCATAGAGCAGGCAAACACCCATATTGTTTAATATCATGGTGTTGCCGGTTTCTAGATGAAGAGCCTTCTGGAAAGTGGCATAGGCCTCGGGAAAATCATTTTTAGCCACTGTTATAAGACCCTTGTCCACTAGATCACGTATATCGGGTTGGGAACCTCTGTTGGAAAGTAATTAAAGGTTTAGTTAGTAGAAATTCAATTTAAAAAGTAAACTTACATTTTCCTTAAGCGCCGGGCTTCGGCAAACTTTTGCTCTGCCCCAAAAATGTCACCAATTTGCAGGTATATCCTACCCCAGGCGGAAAATAAAGCTCTGCGCTCTTCTTTATCTAAATCGGAACGTTCTACTATCATGCTGCGTATAACATCGTCTATAAGATTATACTTTTTAAGCTAAAAGGGGAATTATTTTAAAGTATAGTCAAATTTGTATTAAAAATCTAAAGAATAGAGGACTTACTATAATAGCACAGTTAACTATGGCATGCAGTACTCTTAGTTCACGCTTTTTCCAAAATTCTAAAGCTTCCTTTGGCTGTTTGTCGGCATAAAATTGTTTTATTTCATTGCAAATCACATACAGCTCAGAAAGACGATCTAAAGCCAATTGAGGATTACCCAAATAAATGGGCATTTCAGCCAGTAAGAGACGAAATGAAAAGCAGGCTATAGAACCGGTTTTGCCAGGATACATTTCAGGATAAAACTGAATAAAAAAAAAATAATATTAAAACAAATCTCTTTTTTGAGATAAATTAAAACAAACCTCATAGTAGATATCTGGTTTATTGAGCTGCTCAAAAGGTTCCGCTTCCTGCTGCAGCAGTTCAAATTCTCCTAGTTTAGCCAGCAAAGCTAGACGGGTAAACCATAGTTGTAAGGAATGTGGTGAATGTTTGGCTGGCTGACCAGCACGTCCAAAGCCTTGACCATAAATGGTTAAAAGTCTTCCGGTTAGATTAACGGCCGCTCTATAGCAGCCAGCTACTATAAGGGAACGCAAGCCTCTTTCATCTTGTGTAACATTGTCTACGCCCAAAATTTTACGCTGCGCTAGTTCGCCTTCACCCAAATGTTTGGAAACAGCTATAGCTATCAAATCAGGCTGGAATTTAAAAGAAATTAATCAAATGTTTTCTAAACTATTATTATTATTAGACCTTACTAAATCTTTAGCTGTTTGTATGCCCGGCATAGTTAGTAGAGGAGGTACTCCGGGTTCTGTATGAGGCGGTTCCCAAAAGTTTCTAACATCATCACTTATCTTTGAGTCCTCCTCCATTTCAGCTAAAATCTCTATATAATCGGGTGGCTTAAAGCCACCATTAAAGTTATTAGATGTCAAATTATTTGTTTGGCTTAAACCCGCCGCCGGAGTTGAAGGATTTCCTGCTGGCATAGCAGTTTGCAAGGGATTTGTTACAGCAGCTAAAGGTTTTTGTATGTTTAGTTGTTTGCTAGTATTTTCTGAGAATGATAAATTTTATCACTGCTGAATGTTTCAATTTGCCTTTGCCCTTTGCTTACCTTGTTTTTCTTGTGTCCCGGCCAGCTCATCAAAGAAACTGGGCGGATCATTGGCAAAATATTGGCTTAAACTAGGCCCTGCATTTGTCGCCTTATTTTCCATATTAAATTATTTTATTCTATAGGAAAATATACAAAATTTTCCGATTTTTCCTTTTTGTGTATTTCTCCACCTCTTTTTTTCGATTGTAAACACAAAGAGAAAATTTTACCTGTATCAGCTGTTCGATTTCATCAGTGTTGTCAATTTGTTTAAACTATTTCCTGTCAAATCATATAAAAAACCGCTAGAAACTTTCAGATTGAAGACTAGATTATAGACTAGACTAGACTATACATTAGAGTGTAGACTAGAGTACAGACTAGACTATAGACAAGACTATAGACTAGACTATAGACTAGACTATAGACTAGACTATAGACTAGACTATAGACTAGACTATAGACTAGACTATAGACTAGACTATAGACTACACTATAGACTACCTATAGACTAGAATATAGACTAGACTATAGACTAGACTATAGACTAGTCTCTAGACTAGACTATAGACCAGACTATAGACTAGACTATAGACTAGACTATAGACTAGACTATAGACTAGACTATAGACTAGACTATAGACTAGACTATAGACTAGACTATAGACTAGACTATAGACTAGACTATAGACTAGACTATAGACTAGACTATAGACTAGACTATAGACTAGACTATAGACTAGACTATAGACTAGACTATAGACTAGACTATAGACTAGACTATAGACTAGACTATAGACTAGACTATAGACTAGACTATAGACTAGACTATAGACTAGACTATAGACTAGACTATAGACTAGACTATAGACTAGACTATAGACTAGACTATAGACTAGACTATAGACTAGACTATAGACTAGACTATAGACTAGACTATAGACTAGACTATAGACTAGACTATAGACTAGACTATAGACTAGACTATAGACTAGACTATAGACTAGACTATAGACTAGACTATAGACTAGACTATAGACTAGACTATAGACTAGACTATAGACTAGACTATAGACTAGATTATAGACTAGATTATAGACTAGACTATAGACTAGACTATAGACTAGACTATAGACTAGACTATAGACTAGACTATAGAGTAGACTATTAGACTAGACTATAGACTAGACTATAGACTAGTCTCTAGACTAGACTATAGACCAGACTATAGACTAGACTATAGACTAGACTATAGACTAGACTATAGACTAGACTATAGACTAGACTATAGACTAGACTATAGACTAGACTATAGACTAGACTATAGACTAGACTATAGACTAGACTATAGACTAGACTATAGACTAGACTATAGACTAGACTATAGACTAGACTATAGACTACACTATAGACTAGACTATAGACTAGACTATAGACTAGACTATAGACTAGACTATAGACTAGACTATAGACTAGACTATAGACTAGACTATAGATTAGACTATAGACTAGACTATAGACTAGACTATAGACTAGACTATAGACTAGACTATAGACTAGACTATAAATTAGACTATAGACTAGACTATAGACTAGACTATAGAGTAGACTATAGACTAGACTATAGACTAGACTATAGACTAGACTATAGACTAGACTATAGACTAGACTATAGACTAGACTATAGACTAGACTATAGACTAGACTATAGACTAGACTATAGACTAGACTAGACTATAGACTAGACTAGACTATAGACTAGACTATAGACTAGACTATAGACTAGACTATAGACTAGACTATAGACTAGACTATAGACTAGACTATAGACTAGACTATAGACTAGACTATAGACTAGACTATAGACTAGACTATAGACTAGACTATAGACTAGACTATAGACTAGACTATAGACTAGACTATAGACTAGACTATAGACTAGACTATAGACTAGACTATAGACTAGACTATAGACTAGACTAGACTATAGACTAGACTATACACTAGACTATAGACTAGACTATAGACTAGACTAGACTAGACTATAGACTAGACTATAGACTAGACTATAGACTAGACTATAGACTAGACTATAGACTAGACTATAGACTAGACTATAGACTAGACTATAGACTAGACTATAGACTAGACTATAGACTAGACTATAGACTAGACTATAGACTAGACTATAGACTAGACTATAGACTAGACTATAGACTAATAGACTAGACTATAGACTAGACTATAGACTAGACTATAGACTAGACTATAGACTAGACTATAGACTAGACTATATACTAGACTATAGACTAGACTATAGACTAGACTATAGACTAGACTATAGACTAGACTATAGACTAGACTATAGACTAGACTATAGACTAGACTATAGACTAGACTATAGACTAGACTATAGACAAGACTATAGACTAGACTATAGACTAGACTATAGACTAGACTATAGACTAGACTATAGACTAGACTATAGACTAGACTATAGACTAGACTATAGACCTATAATAATGACTAAACTAGACATAACTAGAACTAGACTTAGTATAGACTCGACAATAGACTAGACTATTAGACAATAGACTAGAAGACTATGATTAGACCTATAGACTATAGACTATGTAACTTAAGATGACTTGCGGTCTATGTATAAATGAGCGAGAGTAATAAACTAGACTATAGACTAGACTTAGACTTTGGATTGTGCCGGTTCTTGTCATAAATGAGCGAGTATGTAATTATGTGGCAACACTGCAATCAAAAATTAGTTTGACAGTTTTACAAAAAAAGTAATTGCTATTTATTAAATGTAAACAAATATATGTTTTAATTTTTATAAAAAACAAGATTTTTAAATTAAATTTGACAAAAACTTTAGTAAAGTGTTTTAAAAAAAATTCAGCATAAAGAAAAACAAAAAAGTTTAGCAGAAAAATCAAAGAACATGAAGTGTGCAGTGGGCAAATGCAAGCAAAGTAATAGTACTAAAACAAGTAAGAAAATTTAAAAAAAATTACTATGTATTATGTGAGTTTTTAATGAAATATTTAAATTTTGTTATTGTATATATATATGAAGATGTATCCTTTTACAATTTCCCAAAAGATGAGACACAAAGGAATTCTTGGGTGAAGTTTTGTAATCGTGTGCGACCCATAAATGTCCAAAAGGAAAAAATTTGTGCCTTACATTTTAAACAAGAAGATTTTGAAAGAAATTTAAAATTTGAATTGGGTAAGTTAACGGAAATTTAATTTCTCAAGCACATTATTTCATGACTATGAATAGGATATAGCCAGCGACGTACACCAAAACTGAAACCGGGTGCTGTTCCCACAATAGAGGCTTGCAATATGACAATTAAAATTCCAAATAAAAGTGTTAACGATATACCAAATGAAAATGTTAACCAAATTGCAATTAAAACTGAAACTTGCAACGACATTTCAATAAAAACTGAAACATGCGACGAAATTGAAATAGGCGAAGTGGAAATCACTCCAATGACAACCGATATTAAAGTAGAAAGTCTGCAACAGTACATAAAAACTTTGGAAATGAACATGTAAGTAAATTTGAAATTAAAACTTACAAATATTTATTTAAACTCATTTCTAGAGATGTTTTATGCAAGGAAAATGATGAACTGAAATTTCTACAACAGCAATCAGCAAACACAATAAAAAATTTGACTCGTCAAGTTCAGAGCTTAAGTTATGCCAACGTTAATCTAGAAAATTCACTGAAACGTATGTTTACAGAAGATCAAATAAAAAAACTTAAAAACAACGATAAAAGGCAAAACTTTACCGAAGAAGATATTGCTCAGTCAATGATTTTATATTCTACCAGTGCTAGGGCTTACAATTTGTTAATAAAAAGACATTTTCCTCTTCCCTCGGTGAGAACATTGCAAAGATGGTCAAGAAAACAAGATATGTCAACAAGTCAAGTGGATAGAATAGAAATGTGAAGTTTATGTACAAATAAAGATACTACAAAATTAATATATACCATCACTTTCGCAAATTTATATTTTCCAAAAGGATATAAAAAAACGAGAAGAAATGATTTTCCATTGTCCCTAAGGTAAGCAAGAATATGTTACATAGTCCTTGAGAAGAATTTATATAGGTATAATGTCTTTTGCTGAAATGAAGTGGAGGGAGAATTTGGCATGGTGACCATTGGCTGGGTATTCGTAATAATTGGTAGGAAATTATCCATTTTTTAAGGCTTTAATTGTAAATAGTCTAGTCTAGTCTGTAATTCAGCCTATAGCCTAGTCTGTAATTCAACCTATAGTCTAGTTTATAGTCTAGTCTATAGTCTAGTCTATAGTCTAGTCTATAGTCTAGTCTATAGTCTATAGTCTAGTCTATAGTCTAGTCTATAGTCTATAGTCTAGTCTATAGTCTAGTCTATAGTCTAATCTATAGTCTACTCTATAGTCTATTGTCTAGTCTATAGTCTACTCTATAGTCTATAGTCTAGTCTATAGTCTAGTCTATAGTCTAGTCTATAGTCTAGTCTATAGTCTAGTCTATAGTCTAGTCTATAGTCTAGTCTATAGTCTAGTCTATAGTCTAGTCTATAGTCTAGTCTATAGTCTAGTCTATAGTCTAGTCTATAGTCTAGTTTATAGTCTAGTCTATAGTCTAGTCTATAGTCTAGTCTATAGTCTAGTCTATAGTCTAGTCTATAGTCTAGTCTATAGTCTAGTCTATAGTCTAGTCTATAGTCTAGTCTATAGTCTAGTCTATAGTCTATAGTCTAGTCTATAGTCTAGTCTAGTCTATAGTCTAGTCTATAGTCTAGTCTATAGGCTAGTCTATAGTGTCTAGTCAATGGTCTAGTCTATAGTCTAGTATATTGTCTAGTCTATAGTCTAGTATATAGTCTAGTCTATAGTCTAGTCTATAGTCTAGTATATAGTCTAGTCTATAGTCTAGTCTATAGTCTAGTCTATAGTCTAGTCTATAGTCTAGTCTATAGTCTAGTCTATAGTCTAGTCTATAGTCTAGTCTATAGTCTAGTCTATAGTCTAGTCTATAGTCTAGTCTATAGTCTAGTCTAGTCTATAGTCTAGTCTATAGTCTAGTCTATAGTCTAGTCTATAGTCTAGTCTATAGTCTAGTCTATGATCTAGTCTATAGTCTAGTCTATGGTCTAGTCTATAGTCTAGTCTATGGTCTAGTCTATAGTCCAGTCTATGGTCTAGTCTATAGTCTAGTATATTGTCTAGTCTATAGTCTAGTATATAGTCTAGTATATAGTCTAGTCTATAGTCTAGTCTATAGTCTAGTCTATAGTCTAGTCTGTAGTCTAGTCTAGTCTATAGTCTAGTCTATAGTCTAGTCTATAGGCTAGTCTATAGTGTCTAGTCAATGGTCTAGTCTATAGTCTAGTATATTGTCTAGTCTATAGTCTAGTATATAGTCTAGTCTATGGTCTAGTCTATAGTCTAGTCTATGGTCTAGTCTATAGTCCAGTCTATAGTCTAGTCTATAGTCTAGTCTATAGTCTAGTCTATAGTCTAGTCTATAGTCTAGTCTATAGTCTAGTCTATAGTCTAGTCTATAGTCTAGTCTATAGTCTAGTCTATAGTCTAGTCTATGATCTAGTCTATAGTCTAGTCTATAGTCTAGTCTATAGTCTAGTCTATGATCTAGTCTATAGTCTAGTCTATGGTCTAGTCTATAGTCTAGTCTATGGTCTAGTCTATAGTCCAGTCTATGGTCTAGTCTATAGTCTAGTATATTGTCTAGTCTATAGTCTAGTATATAGTCTAGTATATAGTCTAGTCTATAGTCTAGTCTATATTCTAGTCTATAGTCAAGTCTATAGTCAAGTCTATAGTCTAGTCTATAGTCTAGTCTATAGTGTAGTCTAGTCTATAGTCAAGTCTATAGTCTAGTATATAGTCTAGTCTATAGTCTAGTCTATAGTCTAGTATATAGTCTAGTCTATAATCTAGTCTTTAGTCTAGTCTATAGTCTAGTCTATAGTCTAGTCTGTAGTCTAGTCTATAGTCTAGTCTATGGTCTAGTCTATAGTCTAGTATATTGTCTAGTCTATAGTCTAGTATATAGTCTAGTATATAGTCTAGTCTATAGTCTAGTCTATAGTCTAGTCTATATTCTAGTCTATAGTCAAGTCTATAGTCAAGTCTATAGTCTAGTCTATAGTCTAGTCTATAGTGTAGTCTAGTCTATAGTCTATAGTATAGTCTATAGTCTAGTATATAGTCTAGTCTATAGTCTAGTCTATAGTCTAGTCTATAGTCTAGTCTATAGTCTAGTCTATAGTCTAGTCTATATTCTAGTCTATAGTCTAGTCTATAGTCAAGTCTATAGTCTAGTCTATAGTGTAGTCTAGTCTAGTCTATAGTCAAGTCTATAGTCCATAGTATAGTCTATAGTCTAGTCTATAGTCTAGTATATAGTCTAGTCTATAGTCTAGTATATAGTCCAGTATATAATCTAGTCTATAGTCTAGTATATAGTCTAGTCTATATTCTAGTCTATGTCTAGTCTATAGTCTAGTCTATAGTCTAGTCTATAGTCAAGTTTATAGTCTAGTCTATAGTCTAGTCTATAGTCTAGTATATAGTCTAGTCTATAGTCTAGTCTATAGTCAAGTCTACAGTCTAGTCTATAGTATAGTCGAGTCTATCGTCTCGTCTATAGTGTAGTCTATAGTCAAGTCTATAATCTAGTCTATAGCATAGTCGTAGTCTATAGTCTAGTCTATAATGTAGTAGTCTTCAGTATAATCTGTAGTCTAGTCTAGTTTATAATCTAGTATACATATGATCTAGTAAATAGTCTAGTCTATAGTCTTGTAAATAGTCTAATCTGTAGTCTAGTATAGAAATTATTTGCGTATATATGTATGTATATTAAAATTTAATATAAAGAAATAAAATATAAAGAAAAGGTCAAAATTTTCTACAACACCAATGAGTCAACAGAAACAACTACAACTAATAAATTAATTATAATTAGGACCACAACCACTGGCGATAATAATTTGAAGTGGATTGTATATGGAAAAGAAATAAAAACAAAACTTACAACTCAAATAATTTTCATTGTTTTTTTGCTTGTCTCTCTAGGGACTATTTGATTTGTATAATGTTTTCTTAAATATATTACCAATTTTTTTATTACAGAAAAACTTTCAAAACTAAACAATATTGTCGCTAGTAGTCATAATTGTGATTACACACTAAACCACCACTAGCTTGATACTAAACAAAACATTAACAGCAATAGTAGCAACACACACACAATTTTGTTCCTACATTTTACTACCGTATTTTTGTTGTTTTATTTTGGTTGTTCATTCTTCACATTCAACTATGTTTTTTTTTCTAACGCATGTTTTCTTCTTCACATTATTCTTTATAATTCCCATTTAGTTTATTTGAGAATTTGTAGAAATAGTTGAATTTTGTGGTTGAAAATTTAAGACTATACTTCACAGGATCATTTCTGTAGTCAGTCTTCATTATTTTTCATCGCAAAATGAAAAATTTCGTCCCCGCGATGAGGAGGTATATCGTTTTATCTGTAGCGTGAGGTTTTGAATTTTGTCTTTGTTCTGGTCTTTTTGGGGCTAGTGGGATAAAATTTCTTCGATGATCGCTCGGTTAACACGGATAAAACGACTTCTGAGTGGTTTTTTAAATAAATAAATTTCAGTGCAAAATAAATTAATAAAGTAGCATCACTTGAACACACTGTTGCCAGATTTGACGATTTATCGTCATTTTGACGATTTTCACTGTCAAAAATGGTCTGTTGACGATTTTAACTCTAAATTTGACGATTTTTTAAAATAGGATTTTTGTACTAATTTTAATACATTTTATCATTTTTCTGTCCATAATTTTTAAGAATATCGACGTATTTAGAATATCAAATGAAAATGTTTATAAAATGAAACATTATAATGTTTTAGAGAATGTCCATTGATCGAATGAATTACGTAATAACGAACTCAAAAATGTTTGAGAATTTCTCTTTTTTTGGACCAGCACTTAGGGGTTATTAGATCTATAATAATTGGTAGTGGGAAGAAGGATAGAAGAAGTGGTATTTTTGGAAGATCGTCGTGCGTCGTTGCCATTATCGCTTAAGGGGAATCAGGACGTTCTTTTTGCTCTGCCGCATTGGTCAAATGTGTGTTTTGTTACGGTTTTTTGAAGTGCATGTTGACCATATGTATTCGTGTTAACTTAACCTAAGTTTTAATTTTGATTATGGTGGAGAACCAAAAAAACTCAATTTGATATTCTGTCCAGTCTTACTGGAATAATTGGTGTTGGCGTTATAATCTTTCGATTCGGCCAAGAAGTCTTAGCTGCAGATGCAGCTAAGCAAACTTAAAGTACAAACAAACAAAACTAAAATCTATTTCTCGATAGTTAAAATAATCACAATGAAATCGTACAAATACCATCAAACATGTAAATGGAAAATAGCTTTGACGATTTCGAAAAATCAGTTGACGATTTTGACGATTTTTTCCTCGAAATTTGACGATTTTACACACAAATCATCTGGCAACTATGCTTGAACAGCTGACTACTTTTTTTTAAACTAGATAAATGAAGCAAATTGTCAAAGTTTGTTATGAAAATTGTTAACATCAGTGTGACCAGGTCTCAAAAAATGTTGCGGCTAAATCCCATCCAAAATAATGCTAGAAAAAATGCTAAATTGATTTTAAAATGCTAAAATTTTTTAAGTGTTTTTATGAACAATTCATATTAATTTGTAACTGAAATTCATTGTAATTTATATTAAGTAAGAAAGTATATTCTGCCGTGGTTGAGCATATGAGTATAAAATTTGATTTATTTTTCGTAATAAAGCATTTTTGTTGAATGAATGTTGAATTGAACCTTGGTTCCGATATATTTAAACTAATTTTCTGAGAAAGGCTTTATACATTTGTATATGTTGGGGGGTAAGGTAAAAAAAAGGACGGACTTTAACCATTTTTAAAAGGTTTTGTCATTGGATCAAAAAGCATACGTGCTTATTGTTTTGAAAATGTCAACCTCTACCAGACGGTCAGACTTACATGGCTTAATCGATTCAGAAAATGATTCTTAACCGATTAGTATACTCAAACGTAGTATAGTGGAGTAGGGTAAAAAATTAAGTTCCGTGGTATTAAGATAAACAGAAATGCTAAAAATTATTTCAAAATTTTTGTAAATTTAGCAATATGTAATGTCTCTAACTTTAAAACATTTCTGAATGCAAAAATTACATTAAAACTCTATTAATTACACTAGTTGCTCATGATATAAAACCTATATGTGTTTTCGGAAGGAAAAGTATAATATTTCTAGTTTTACTTTTTTTTATATAAACAATTTTATTTGTCTTCCTCAAAACACTTTAAAAATGGTTTTCATGTCACAAAAATATTGAAAATTCCGTTGAAATAATTTTAAATCTCGGTGAATAGATGTCAGGTTTATAACTCATACTTCCAAGATATTTTTCGGAAAAATATATATGAGAATGTATGAAATGAATTGAGAGATATATTCAAATCCGTAAGTTTGTAATACTGGAATAAATTGTCAATAATATTTTCGAAATTTATGTATTTTTTTTAATTAAAAAAAAAAAAACGTGACAACAAAATTACTAAAAATTTGGTAAAAATAAAAAGAACAGAAAGTAGGATGAGAAAGTCTTAATAATATATTATTGATTTTTTTCAATACTTATTTTCAATAAATTAACAAGAACTCCTGAAGGGTGATAAAAATTAAAACCTCTTTATTTCGTATAGGAAAAAATAAAATTTGTTAATTAACCGTCATACATAACCTTTTCCAAAATTATATTTTTCATTCCATGAGCAAACAAAAAGTATTAGTTTGTAAAATAGCGTACTGAACGTATTTGTAAAAATATATGAAATCTCTTGAATTATTTCTATCACCTCGAATTTAAAAAAGCATTGCGTTTCAGAAAAATATTTTGGAATACAACATTTTAAAGTATTCACTTGTATTGGCGTAATTTTCAGTTATTTATCTTCATGAATCTTTTTGCATTACTTTGAATTACAGTGTAAATTATTACATTTCTCATATTTCTTGTTGCTTGAGTTTGGGTAGACATTTAATTCTGATTTTTTCCGGTTAAACCTATTTCCAATATAAATCTTTTTTGCAAAAATTTGTCTTTTTTTGTTTATATACTAAAATTGCAAAAAAAAAAGCTAAAAATGCTAAAAATATTTTATAAAAATGCTAAATAAAATGCCAAATGCTAAATTAAAATTTTACAGCTAAATCAAAATAAAAAATGCTAAATCTAGCTGCAAAAATGCCAAAATGGTCACACTGATCGCGGGAGAAAATGCTTCTTTTAGCGGTTAGCGGGAAATTTGGTGATTTTTAACCAGCATTTGGAGAATTTTCACGTATAAAATGAAATAACTACAAATGTCTATAGCGTATCTATAGTGTATACTCTAGAATATAGTGTAGTATGTAGTTTAGTATATAGTCTAGTCCAGGGCATACTTAGAAAGGTGACTGCATCACTACAAAAACAACATGCATTTTGTTTTTGTACTAGAATCATACTAATATCAAAAATGATATAAAAAATGTAAACAAATAACATTCTTAACATGTAAACAATAACAACTTTTGACATTATACATACTCTACACAAAAATAATCAGCTGCTTTATTGCAGTCACCTTACTTTATTGCAGTCCCCTTACTTTATTATGTCATGTCTATAGTCCAGTCACTAGTCTATAGTATGGTCTTTAGTCTAGTTTATAGTATAGTGTATGGTCCAGTCTATAGTAAAATCTAAAGTCTAATCTATAGTGTGGACTACTTTCAATAGTCGAAATTCAATAAGGGCATTCATGAAATATGTGGGTAAACTTGCACATTTGTATTATTTAGAACAGAAAATTTATATTAAAATTATCAGTTCAAATAGGCGATCAAATGTATCAGTGTTGTGGAAGTAAAATCCCATACAATTTGTGACAAATTCTATGTAAAAACCAAAATGCACAATTTGCGAGGATTTTGAATGTTTATATAAAAACCTTTAAAATTCTTATTTTTTTTTTAAATTTATTAAAATTTTGTATTTTTTTTTTTGTAAAACATCCAGTTTAAATTTGACGTTTTCTGGCGGCTTTTGCAAATACCTAAATCTGACGGTTTCTGGCGTTTTTTTTTTTTTGGACATGGTTTAATGGGAAATGATGAAAAAATATTGGCAACACTGATCAAGTATTTCTCAATAAACTAATTGGGAATTATAAAGAATAATGTAAAGAAGAAAACATAAGTTAGAAATAGGTACATAAAATAAAGAAAAGAAATACCTAACATAAAGAAAAAAAATTTTTGTGTGTTGTTTTTGCTGCTGCTACTATTGATGTTAATGTTTTGTTTAGTATCAAGCTAGGGGTGGTTTAGAGTGTAATCACAATTATGACTGCTAACGACTAGCGAAATAGTATTTAAGTTTGAACAAAGAAAATTGTTTAGTTTTGAAAATGTTGCTGTAATACCAAAATTGGTAATACAAGAAAAGAGAAAACATCAGAGAATCGTTAGAAAGATTAGCAAAACACAAAGAAATTTTTGTATTCTTTTCCATATAAAATCTTTGTCAAATTATTATCGCTTATAGTTGTGATCCCAATTTTAATTACTCAAGTAGTTATAGTTGTTCCAGCTGACTCATTGTTTTGACGATTTTATTAATATTAAAAGGTCAACAAACAATTTGGAAATTTTAGTTTCTTTTGTTTATATTTTATTTATCAGCCTTTTGAACAACAATTAATAATTTATTTATTTTTATGTAAAAATCACTTTGATTTTTGAGTATTTAAAAAAAAAAAATAATAGTATTATAATTTACACTAGACTTGACGGGTCGTATACTGGGAACACAATTTCTCGGGAAAAGCATCCATCCATTTTTAACACTCTTTTTCCGAACGAAAATATTTTTGGTTCTTTATAAAAACCACGAGTTTTTTACTTTTTTCATTAAAATTTATTTACGTATTACATTTAACTTAAAACTATATTTATTGCAAATTAAACTTAAAAATTATTTATTAATTATTATTTTTTTAATAAAAACATACATTTACATTTTAAGTTTAATTGTCATTTTATGACGTTTAACTAATATTTACAGAGGAAAACAATGAAGAGGGAGCGGGTTACAGTTTATTAGTGAATAACAATAGAAATGTTTTCTATATTAAAATCATAGATAGTAGATTTTAGCGGTTAAAAGTTTTTGAAAAAAGTTGTGAAGAAAATTTTTTATTTTTTATTAATCCGGAGTTTAGTATAGACTAGACTATAGACTAGAATAAAGACTAGTCTATAGACTAGACTATAGACTAGACTATAGACTAGACTATAGACTAGACTATAGACTAGACTATAGACTAGACTATAGACTAGACTATAGACTAGACTATAGACTAGACTATAGACTAGACTATAGACTATACTATAGACTAGACTATAGACTAGACTATAGACTAGACTATAGACTAGACTATAGACTAGACTATAGACTAGACTATAGACTAGACTATAGACTAGACTATAGACTAGACTATAGACTATACTATAGACTAGACTATAGACTAGACTATAGACTAGACTATAGACTAGACTATAGACTAGACTATAGACTAGACTATAGACTAGACTATAGACTAGACTATAGACTAGACTATAGACTAGACTATAGACTAGACTATAGACTAGACTATAGACTAGACTATAGACTAGACTATAGACTAGACTATAGACTAGACTATAGACTAGACTATAGACTAGACTAGACTAGACTATATACTAGACTATAGACTAGAATATTGACTAGACTATAGATTAGTCTATAAACTAGACTAGATTATAGAATAGAATCTAGACTAGACTACAAACTAGACTGTAGAGTAGACTATAGACTAGACTATAGACTAAACTATAGATTAGACTATAGACTAGACTATAGACTAGACTATAGACTAGACTATAGACTAGACTATAGACTAGACTATAGACTAGACTATAAACTAGACTATAGACTAGACTATAAACTAGACTATAGATTAGACTATAGACTAGACTAAATATTAGACTATAGACTAGAATATAGACTAGACTAGATTATAGAATAGAATCTAGACTATAGACTATACTATAGACTAGAATATATACTAGACTATACTATAGACTAGAATATATACTAGACTATACTATAGACTAGATTATAGAATAGAATCTATAGACTAGACTATACTATAGACTAGAATATATACTAGACTATACTATAGACTAGAATATATACTAGACTATACTATAGACTAGATTGTAGAATAGAATCTAGACTATAGACTAGACTATAGACTAGATTATAGACTAGACTATAGACTAGCCTATAGACTAGACTATAGACTAGACTATAAACTAGACTAGATTTTAGAATAGAATCTAGACTATAGACTAGAATATATACTAGACTATAGACTAGACTATACTATAGACTAGAATATATACTAGACTATAGACTAGACTATAGACTAGAATATAGACTAGGCTATAGACTCGACTATAGACTAGACTATAGACTAGATAATAAACTAGACTATAGACTAGACTATATACTAGACTATAGACTAGACTATATACTAGACTATAGACTAGACTATATAATAGACTATAGACTAGACTATAGACTAGACTATAGACTAGACTATAGACTAGACTATAGACTAGACTATAGACTAGACTATAAACTAGACTATAGACTAGACTATAGACTAGACTATAAACTAGACTATAGAATAGAATCTAGACTATAGACTATACTATACTATAGACTAGATTATATACTAGACTATATACTAGACTATAGACTAGAATATAGACTAGGCTATAGACTAGACTATAGACTAGACAATAGACTAGACTATAGACTAGACTATATACTAGACTATATACTAGACTATATACTAGACTAGACTATAGACTAGACTATAGACTAGACTATAGACTAGACTATAGACTAGACTATAGACTAGACTATAGACTAGACTATAGACTAGACTATATACTAGACTATAGACTAGACTATAGACCAGAGAATACTAATTAATTCCTTAAAAAAGTGACTTTCTTATATAAAGGCTTCTAAAGGAAATTGTCTTCTTTAAACTTTTATCTAAAAAGATGTTCGATTAATTTGATTTGCTTTTTTACCGCTTAAAAGTATGCTTTTGTTTAGCTAGAAAAACATTTTCGAAATGTCAAAATAAATAAACTGTGTTTGTGACGAAAGAGAGAAATAACTTTGTGTGAAAATAAAACTTAAAATTGATATAAATTTTGTACATCTAACAACTAATGTTATTGACCATTAAATATGGTCTCGGGATAATAACTTGGAGCATTAAACATACGCGGAAAACCATTAGGATCCAATTGTTGCACGGGCAGCACAGACATAATGTCACTAAAAACAAATAAAAAGAAAAACCATTATGGAAAATTAATATGATTTCAAGTGGGTATAAAGGAAAATCTTTAAATTTAAGTTAAATATAAAGAGATATGTGTATGTATGTATAAAACATGTGTTAAATAAAAATGGCACTTGTCCTTTTAAAATTATTCACGCCCTCCTGTGGAGTCTTTCAAAAGTAACTGCAACAATGTGTTGCACATGCCATACGTCTGGCAGCCACTTTTTACTCACTCATTCATTCATGGTGTGGGCTTGCTTTTAAACTAAATACATACATATGTAGGCGTCCTTTAGTCTAATTTTATTTAAAATAGTTCTAGCAATTATAATTGTTCTTTTCGGTTTTGAATTTTTATTTTTTTTTAACACATAAAACTCACTGAAGTGTTTCTATATGTGTTTTAGTAGGGATTTGCTTTCATTATAATTAGGGGTAACTACTTTAATGTTTTATGCCTTTTGTGTGGCACTTAGTATTGGGTTTATGTTAGCAGGCCTCTTGCTTGTTGTTAGGCTCCCCTGTGTTGAGTGTACGTGCCTATTTTAATGGTCAATTTTTACAGTATTTTAATGCCAATTTTTAGCTGTAAAACTGTAGCAGTTTTATTAATTTATATTTCTCTGCCATATGTATTAAAAGAGTACATTTTCGTTTTTTTTATGAGTTATGGGGAATTTCTGTCCAGATTTTTTTTTTATTTTAAGTGCTTTGCTGCCTAGTTTTATATAATTTTTTCATTGTTTTCTTAAAAAAGTGTTTGTTATTGTGTTAAATGAAAATTATTTTCTTAACAAATTTCTTGTAAATTTTATTTTTTTATATGTTTCTTTGATTGGATTTATGTAATTTGATATTTGTTGAGGAAAAATTATGATTTGTTTAAAGGGCTTTATGAGGAAATTATCATAAACTTGTATAATTATTAAGAGTTTTTAAAGATTTTCCTAGAAATTAATATAAATATTTGTTGTAAATATTGTAAATATACTATAAATTATAAAATTTTAGAGAAAATTCTTAAATGTCTAGAATTTGAACTATTTTTACAAATGATTTTGAAACAATTTGCTTTATATAGTTATTTTATGACTTTTTAATTATTCACAGCTGGCAACACTTGTTGGCTTGTCAAAAACTTTGACAGTTGTCAAGAGATTTAGAACATGTTTGCTAAAATAGTTACTAGTTTTTGCAAACTTTAAGGCGAAATAATTTTCCAAAGAAAGTCTTTTGGAAGTCCAGTTAATAGTCTTATATAGATCAGTGTATAGACCAGTCTATAGTCTTGACTATATATCAGTCTAAAGTCTAGACTATAGCCCAATGTATAGTCTTGACTATAGTCTAATCTATAGTCTTGACATAGACCAATCTATAGTCTTGACTATAGACTAATCTATCTTGACTATAGACAAATCTATAGTCTTCACTATAGACCAATCTATAGTCTTCACTATAGACCAATCTATAGTCTTGTCTATAGACCAATCTATAGTCTTGACTATAGACCAATCTATAGTCTTGACTATAGACCAATCTATGTCTTGACTATAAATCAGTCTATAGTCAACTCAAGACAATAGAAGTCTGACTAGACCAGTCTAGTCTTGACTATAGACCAGTCTATAGTCTTGACTATAGACCAGTCTATAGTCTTGACTATAGACCAGTCTATAGTCTTGACTATAGACCAGTCTATAGTCTTGACTATAGACCAGTCTATAGTCTTGACTATAGACCAGTCTATAGTCTTGACTATAGACCAGTCTATAGTCTTGACTATAGACCAGTCTATAGTCTTGACTATAGACCAGTCTATAGTCTTGTCTTGACTATAGACCAGTCTATAGTCTTGACTATAGACCATTCTATAGTCTTGACTACAGATCAGTCTAGTTTTGACAATAGAACTGTCTTGACTATAGACCAGCCTATAGTCTTAACAATAGACCAGTCTATAGTCTTGACTATAGACCAATCTATAGTCTTGTCTGTAGACCAATCTATAGTCTTGACCAGCCTATAGACTTGACTATAGACCAGTCTATAGTTTTGACTATAGACCAGTCTATAGTTTTGACTATAGACCAGTCTATAGTCTTGACTATAGACCAGTCTATAGTCTTGACTATAGACCAGTCTATAGTCTTGACTATAGACCAGTCTATAGTCTTGACTATAGACCAGTCTATAGACCAATCTATAGTCTTGTCTGTAGACCAATCTATAGTCTTGACCAGCCTATAGTCTTGACTATAGACCAGTCTATAGTCTGACTATAGACCAGTCTATAGTCTTGACTATAGACCAGTCTATAGTCTTGACTATAGACCAGTCTATAGTCTTGACTATAGACCAGTCTATAGTCTTGACTATAGACCAGTCTATAGACTTGACTATAGACCAGTCTATAGTCTTGACTATAGACCAGTCTATAGTCTTGACTATAGACCAGTCTATAGTCTTGACTATAGACCAGTCTATAGTCTTGACTATAGACCAGTCTATAGTCTTGACTATAGACCAGTCTATAGTCTTGACTATAGACCAGTCTATAGTCTTGACTATAGACCAGTCTATAGTCTTGACTATAGACCAGTCTATAGTCTTGACTATAGACCAGTCTATAGTCTTGACTATAGACCAGTCTATAGTCTTGACTATAGACCAGTCTATAGTCTTGACTATAGACCATCTATAATCTTGACTGTGGACTATTCTATAGTCTTGACTATAGATTAATCTACATTCTCGACCAATCTATAGTCTTGTCCATAGACCAATCTTTAGTCTTCACTATTGACCAATCTATAGTCTTGACTATAGACTACAGCCCCATAGCTCTTTCCGTTCGGATGCTATAGCGCTTTAAATAGGCAGACAGAACGTTAAACAGACGGTCGGACATGGCTAAATCGTTTCAAAATCCAATAATAATACTTTTGTGAATCTTCTCCATTAATTATGTTAAGTCGAATCTATTCAAAACTTCAACTACTTACGGTCTCTGTTGCGGCGTTCTATCCCTCTGCCGTCGATTTTTAAACCAATTCGAGACTTGCGTCAGTGTCAAGCCCGTCCGCTTGGCCAAAGTTTTCTTTTCATCTGGCGTAGGATAACGATTTGTCTGATAGCAATCCTTTAAAGCATTACGACTTTTCTCCTTAAAACAATACACCGTTTCCTCACCATCCCAAATCGTTTTGGGTAATTGATATTTCTTGCGTAAACGATATTTATCAACGGCACCCAGTGGGCGACCTCTGACATTTTCAGCCTCTTTGTAGTGAGCTTTAAACCAGAGATCTTGTAAATCAGCATGATATTTGGCAGAGAAACAGTGGGATTCTAATAAATGATAGAGCTCGTGAAATTGACCGCGATGATAGGCTACAATGGCGCGTGCACGTAAAACACTTTCGTTGTTTTTGAACAGCTCTGAGTCAGGTAGATTGCACAGAAAAGTGGTGAGTTTATCGATGTCGCCTTTTTGCTGTAACGCCTCACACATACATTGTATCTGGGGAGCATAGAACAAGAGAGTTTTGATAATTGTTAAACCTTTGAAGAATTTATAAAAAAACTCACCTGATCTGTGGTAAATTGTAAAAATTTACGATTCATTTGTATATTCCCAGCATTATTATGAGCTCCCGTTATATTCGACAATAACCCGGAGCCATTTAAACCTGCCGTAGAACGATTTAAATTACCCAAAGCATCGTTTACCGAATGCTGAGCATTCGCCAGAGGCATTGAACCCCCGATATTCATATTACTGCTATTATTACTGTTTAGATTTTTGGTATTACCATTGAGATCACTTGGCAGTGACCCGACTCCTACACCGCTATCAAAAATTATACCATTTAAACTGGGATAAATGGGTGAAGCGGTGGCTGTGGGAGGCGGTGATTTATCGTAATCATTGGTTATATCATGAAATCTACGATCCAATTCTTTGTCTGTGGCATAGGGGGAAAATTTATCCAAATGTAAGACAGTTTTACAGGAGATATTACCGCGATAACCTAAAATTAAATGAATTTTAATAAAAATTTTACAAAGTACTTTTATTCTAATTTAAAATGCCGTCTTTTAGCAGACAACTGTAATTTAATAATGATTTGTGTTTTTAACATTCCTGGAATCCAGTTAATTGTTTGTTAAAGTGTTAAAAGTTTTAATTTAAATGTTTTCAAACAAGTTGTATTTCAATTTTCGTAATATTACTCCTGAAAAATGTGCTTAGTTAGGGGAATATATTTTTTTTTGAAAAAATTATAGCGTCATTATGACGCTACAAATGATTGGTCACACGATAATTGTTAATCATAAAATTGAAAAGTTATTTGACACTTTACAAAAAATCACTTAAACAAATATATATTAAAAAATCAAAAGGTCAAAGTTTAAAACCTCATTTTAAGTTTGCAATATTATCAAGAGTCTGGGAATTGAGATGATGTATAGAGTTTTAGTAGGAATAGTTTCCTATAACCAAAATATTCTAGATCTTTATATTAATAACTCTAAATCAAAATAAAGTTGAAATACCGACGGTATACATATATGTAGCTACTTTCGAACAAAGTAGGAATCTTTCTGAAAAATTTCAGCCCCCTTACACTTTCCGTTCGTAATTTATCGTGTTTTCAACAGACAAGCAAATATCTAAATTTGTTTAGAATATAATAAGGGCCCAATGTATATAAATACCTCCAATAGTTCCATTTATAATTAAAATTTTTCCTTAATCATGTCTGAATTTAAAGTAAAAAGCTTGATTTACTCATGGCACTAACTCAAAGAAAGATTTTAACCTAGTTGTTCTACTTAACTTAGTCATAGCCTGAATCGCGGTTACATTTCTAGTACAAATTCCTCTAACTACTCTCTATTTTTAATAAAAATATGGACCTTATCGTGGCTCTATCTATAACTAGAAGATTAACTTAATCATGGGTCTAATTAAAGTAAAAATTTAACTTAATTGTGGCTAGATTTAAAGTCAAAGATCTCACTTTAGGGTTTCAATTTAAAGTAAAATTTTTACTTAATAGTGACTTCATTTAAACTAAAATGTTTGACTACATAATAACCCCACTTAAAGTCTAAATTCAGTTTTTATCGTGGTACCAGTTGTAGTCCAAAATATGTCTTAATCGCGAAAATTTCATATTCAGCTTATTCACTGATGTGACTATACATAGACTGATGTATAGTCAAGACTATAGATTGATGTATAGTCAAGTCTATAGATTGATGTATAGTCAAGACTGTAGATTGAGCTATAGTCAAGACTATACTGGACTATAGTCAAGACTATAGACTGACCTATAGTCAAGACTATAGACTAATCTATAGTTAAGACTATAGACTGATCTATAGCCAAAACTATAGACTGATCTATAGTAAAAACTATATACTGATCTATAGTCAAGACTATATACTAATCTATAGTCAAGCCTATAAACTGATATATAGTCAAGACTATAGACTGATCTATAGTTAAGACTATAGATTAATCTATAGTCAAGACGATATACTAATCTATAGTCAAGACTATATAGTAATCTATAGTCAAGACTATAGATTGAGCTATAGTCAAGACTATATACTGGACTATAGTCAAGACTATAGACTGACCTATAGCCAAGACTATAGACTGACCTATAATCAAGAGTATAGACTGACCTATAGTCAAGAGTATAGACTGACCTATAGTCAAGACTATAGACTGACCTATAGTCAAGACTATAGACTGACCTATAGTCAAGACTATAGACTGACCTATAGTCAAGACTATAGAATGACCTATAGTCAAGACTATAGACTGACCTATAGTCAAGTCTATAGACTGACCTATAGTCAAGAGTATAGACTGACCTATAGTCAAGACTATAGACTGACCTATAGTCAAGACTATAGACTGATCTATAGCCAAGAATATAGACTGATCTATAGTCAAGATTATAGACTGATCTATATTCAAGACTATAGACTGGTCCATATTGTTAGAATTTTGGGGATTTTTTTAAAATTTTCTGACCTATAGTCAAGACTATAGACTGATCTATAGTCAAGATTATAGTCTGATCTATATTCAAGATTATAGACTGATCTATAATCATGACTATAGACTGGTCCATATTGTAAGTGGAGTTAGAATTTTGGGGATTTTTTTAAATTTTCTTTTATATATGGGTCAGAATCTAGGATCTAAAGGTC